CTTCTTGTCACTGGCGCCAGGCCACTTCACATACGGTCTGTGCCCTGGTAGTCTCCTCTCGATTGCAGGTCTCAGAGGCTGGGTGAGTTCCACTCCTGTTGTTGGTTCCACCTCAGTTGTTACTTCGGTGCTTGAGTTTACGTCCTCCATGACAGTGGTACTGATGCACTGCAAACTATGGTTTGCGTCCAGTTGCTGTGCTTCATTCGACTGATTTGATCGCTTTCGCAGAAAGTAATCAATGCGAGGCCTCTGTCTCTCTTTACCCAAACACCCCTTCTTCCCCTGGTGGATCCTCAACCCATGGTGTGATGTAACTTTCCTCCAACCACAGACACATACCTGCATCTGTTTGTGGCCTGCTGTTGCAGCGGAACTTGTGACAGTTGCTGTGGTGTTCTCTTGTGCTGTGCTCTCATTACTCGTAGTCGTTTCCGGTCCAGTCGTTACCATGTTGTCAGTCGATGAGTCATCTTCCGCCCCCGCTCTCGCAGACTCTAGGGGTATTCTCGTATGTTGACTTTCTGTAGCTAAATCGGGTGTTTCCAACATACTGCGAAGCATGGGAAACTACAGAAATGGGAAGCTACCCCATGACTGTCCCAGTGGGGTCTATTCCCTCCTGTCAGCCGTCTCTCCGTGCCGCCACAAGGACTTTCCCCTGTTGTCAGCTGATCTTTCTCAGCAGTCACTGGACAAGTCCAGATATTCAGATTCCAAAGAACACAGGATGAGATGTTACTATCCTTTGTGCAAGCACTTCCAAGAGTTCATGAACAGTGAGCCTGGTGAAATTTGGGGAGCGCATCGTCAGTAGTGACCCTTTGGTTCCTAGGGTGTTTCGGCCTTTCATACTATACACCCTCCCCAAAGGCGGCCAGCGACAGGGTGATCAATCCTACGCTTGCGTCCCATTCCCAATTAGTCATAGGAGTTGCCTTGTTGTTGATAGCCAACATCCCATGGGACTATGCATGGCAGGGGCGTCCTCCTCCCTGAGTCAAGCATTGTTGACTGCATACCTCCTGGCCCTCTCACTTTGGGGCCCAGCTGGGGTCTTTCCTCTTCATCCAGAGCCACTGACTGCTGCCTTCTGCCGCCTCCGATACAGCTCTGATTGTCGAACGCTGGCTCTGGCCCTTAATTCCCAGGTCTCTAAGCAGTCTGGTTGTAGATGTTGCCACAAAACCTCTGCAGCCCACCTCCACTGGTCGGACTTCTGTGTTCCAGCCATGATGCCGTGCTTCAGCAGCTAGATCGGCATAGCGCAGATGTTTTCGCTCATAAGCCTCATCTACTGAGTCCTCCCAGGGTACTGTGAGCTCAATGATGAAGACCTTCTTGAGCGAACGGGACCAGAGCACCATGTCAGGTCTTAGGGTGGTGGTTGCGATCTCCGGAGGAAACACAAGTTGCCGGCCAATGTCAGCTAGCATTTTCCAGTCGCGGGCCAAGCGCAGCTGGTCTCGCTCTATTGGTGTAGAGCCGCTCTTCGGTGGTTTAGCCCCTTCGCGGACAAAGGTCGTCCGTAAGGGGTGTGATGCTGCTGGGGGTGGTAGGGAGTTGGTGGCAGCTCGCTTGTCCTCCAGGGCGGACGCAAGGTTTTTAAGGACTTGGTTGTGACGCCAAGTGTAGCGTCTTTGGGTGAGGCTTGTTTTACACCCTGTGAGAATGTGCCTGAGGTTGGCTGGCATGGAACAGAGGGCACAGTCCGGATCTTCACCATACCATTGGTGAAGATTAACTGGTGTTGGAAGGATGTCATATGTTTCTCTGATGGAAAAGCTCAACCGCCTCGCTTCCATGGCCCACAGATCCTTCCAGCTGATCTTCCTCTTCTCCACACTGTCCCATCGAGTCCACTGTCCTTGTTTGGCAAGAGAGACTGCCTTGGCCCACCTTGCAGCCTCCTCCTGATGGCGTACTTCCTGCACTACCATCTTCCGCCGCTCTGGTGCAGTGGCCTTACTCCAAGCAGCACGGCTAGTTAGCCCAAGGCCTCCTCTCCCTTGCTGAACATGACCCACAATGTCAGCATGTCTGAGGGCTGCTGTTGCCTCCTGGACTGCTTTTCCTGGCCTCCATTTGCGCCCAGTTGCCAAGGTCGGTGCGTTGTTGCTCACCACTGGGTCTCGAGATTCATTCAGTGTCATCTGGAGCCTGGTTTTTGCACACTTGAATTCCTCGGTACTAAACTCTACCGACCTGGTATCGACAATCAAGGGGATTTCCCTGTCCCCAGACGACCTGCTTGTCAGTTTTGATGTGGTTTCCTTATTCACCAAAGTTCCTGTACCTGGCACCATCGCAATCATTGAAGACTTGGTTCATCAAGGACTGAATACTGGGGTACCCCCCCTGGTGAGACACTGCTTAACCAATACATACTTCACCTGGAATGGAACTTTCTACAAGCAAACTGAGGGCACCCCAATGGGCTCCCCCCTATCTCCGGTTGTAGCCAACATCTTCATGGAGAAATTTGAGACTGACGCCATCCAGACTGCCACTCTACGCCCGACCTTATGGAAGAGGTACGTAGATGACACTTTTGTCATCTGGCCACATGGCCGGCCTGCTCTAGACCAATTTCTCGACCACATCAATTCCATACACCCAGCCATCAGATTCACCATGGAAGTCGAAAAAGATGGCAAGCTACCCTTTTTGGATGTCCTAATTAAAAGGAGACCTGATGGTTCAATGAGCCACTCTGTCTACAGGAAAGCCACCCATACAGACGCTTACCTAAAACCGGATTCCCACCACCATCCATCCCAGAAGAATTCCCTCATCAAGACTCTATACCATAGAGCCCAATGCATATCCGACCAGGAACACATTGCCAGTGAACTCAAACACGTACGCCAAGCTCTTAAGGCTAATGGTTACTCCGACTACACACTCCGCAAAGCCATCACTCCAACCATCAAGAAGGATCCCGTTGAGGAGCCTTTCAAGACCATCACCTTACCCTACATTGCTGGGGTCACAAAAAAGATCTCCAAAATCCTGATAAAACACAAGATCCAGGTCCGATTCAACACAGTACATAAAATTTGTGATCTGGTCCCGTCTGTAAAAGATGTGGTTCCAGACATACAGTACCCTGGCGTCTACAAACTAAGTTTCCTCTGTGGTAGCAGTTACATTGGAGAAACCAAACGACATGTCTCAGACTGCATCCGTGAACATAAAGCAGACTTGAAACACGGTAGGACAAACACCTCAGCCGTGGCAGATCACTGTTACAATTCAGTGGGCTCACATGATATTGACTTCTCCAAGACAGAGGTTCTCTGCAAGCCATCTGGCTATCATGAGAGATTCGTTCATGAGGCGATCCACATATACAAGCACAGAGACAATTTCAACCAAGAAGATGGATTCTGGCTTAGCAATCATTGGAAGGACGTAATAAACCATTTTGGTTCTTAACTGATTGTGTTCACGTTTACGGTGACTTTCAGACCGCGTTCCACTCACTGGCATTGTATTCTCCGCAGGGAATGGATTCTTTGCTCCGCTGCATTGACATATTTTATTTCTTCCTCTTAGTATCTTTCACACGACGGTCAACGGTACAATGTATAATAACAAATAGTATAAAAATGTATATGCTTAATACAATGTACAAAGTAATATATAGTATCGTAATTGTATAGTGAATATACAGCAGTGTGATATACATTACAGTATATCATTTAATGTTGGGTTTGTCTATGGCAGTATATAGTACGGTGTAGACTCGTGTGATGTAAGAGAATAAAGTTTAGATGGAAACATATTATATTTTTTACGACGTAGAATTGTAATGTATTACTTACTGTTAGTAACTCAGCTTATTGTAAAGTATATTTAGTATAATGATGATACTATGTAGTTAATATTTTAGTTGTTTACGTGGTGGTTTTAGTTACTGCAGCTACATACTATTAACACTTCTTCCCTTTATGAATGCTACCCCTATCCTCTCCCTGTGATGCTGCTAATACTGCATAATGCACGGGCATAAGTAGTACTAATCACATACCTGCATTTCACATATCTCCTCCCTTGGATGCTGCTAATCCTGCATAATGCACGGACATAAGTAGTACTAATCACATACCTGCATTTCCCATAAATATGCTAAATTCCTCTTGATATGCAAATTATTTTGTCAAGGCGCCCTTCCCCCCCCCTTCCAACCCAGCTTATATATATGCTCCAAGCACGTGTGCTGTTTCATTCAGACGCTGTCGCCTCGACAGACCTGGTTTCACCTGAGGACGGCTGCTTGCGTTGTGGCCGAAACGTCGTGAGAATTATTTTATTATGTTTTATTTTTATTATTTTATTACTTCCCTTCTACGTGACTTTACCGAAAGAACCAAGAAGATGAATCCCTGCAGTCACGAAAGCTTTAAATAGAAGTATAATAATGATCATAAGTAATGTGTAATGCGCACGGTTTTCGTTCACTCTGAGAGAAAGAGAAAACATTTGGAGGCATTGGAAACCACAGTCAAGCAGTAGGGCAACCTCGAGCTGGTGCCAACAATTTCCTGAGCTCTGTGGTTCAATATTGGGATGTTTGGTCAAATTAATCACCCCTAATCTTAATCTCAATATTGCTGCTGAGCATATAGTATTACTGTAGAGCTGAAATGAACAGCTGACGCATTCATAATTAAAAATATGTTGAATACTTGATTACTCAAAATGCAATTAATAATGCCTGATATTGCACCTCTGCTGCTGATGACATTGATTTTGTTGTTCCTTCTGTTAAAGAGCTATATAGCTAAGTGGGCCTTACTTGGTAAATAAAAAATAGTTTAGTAGTTGTAAATAGTAACTTTGTCTTAGTTTAGAGCATCAGGGTTTTGCTCTAAATGTACTTTCTATGAATAACGACAGCATAGTCCGTACACAACATACGACAAATTTAGATATGGATGCCACGTTACACTATTTATTTTCAATATCTGAATATCTCTGCTCTAATTTAATTTTAGAAAGCAATCACTGAAGTTTACAAGGGGCTGATTATGAAAAATGCAGAGGCGTCACAATGCAAGTGTAAGGAACGCCTTCTGCAGCTGTACCAGCCCATTAAAGTGAAGGTGCAGCAGCGTGAATTCTATCGGCCAGGAGGCTTCCAGGAGTACCAGGCCTTGATGGAGAATCTCCAAGAAAACTACAACAGCACCCCAGGACTGGGCATGGCGGTAAATCCCTCTTAAAGCCTCACCTGTTGCATTTCCACCCCCATTGTCAATCAAGTCATTTTAAATACATGTTTTGAGAACAAGACCTGCCACGGTGTAATGGTGAGAACAGTGGACTTACAATCAAGGGGTGCATTCAGTGGGCAGAGCGCTATACGGCGATAGACGTTGGCTCTTATAGAGTGGTGGGTTTGGATGCTAAGTGCATTGTGGTTGCCTGATGTCACACCACAACCATTGAGCCCGCGTGTTTCATCCACGAACCAGAGAGTTCGCAGCAAGGTACGGCGCCTCCCATTGGATGGATTGTGAGATGCCCATCTCACTCTGAGCGAGGGAGTCCATTGTAATGGCGGCCTCCAAACTTTGTCTTGTACCATGCTGCCCTAATGTTGGGTTTGTGTTCTAGCAGTCGGTCCCACCTTCACACACGTGTCACATGCGCTCTTTCATGTTGTTGTCTTCCTATCCGGGTTACCGGGCTCCGCTTTCGTAATTGTTACAGCTGGGTCGGCTGATTTTTTTTTCATGGGGCGGGGGGGGGGGGGTAATGTAGAGGAGTAGTCAGGGACATTACGTCATGCGGCCCTTCCGGTGTGATGACGTCACGGGAAGTGACGTCATGAATAGGGGGCGGGGCGACAGCGTCATGTCTCCCGGGGGTACTTAAGCTGGAGCCCGTGACGTGAGCGGGGTCGTCGCAGTGAAGGGTGGAAGTTAGATCCTGGGGAAGGGCTGACGGAGCCTAGAAGGGAACCAGCACTAGCAATAGGAGTGGCTGCTTTACCCGGTCGGCCGATGTTGGATGATCCCTCGGCTGGCGCAGAGGGAAGAGCCCGGGAAGCGAGTTGTGCTTGGGAGCCTCGGACCCCTACCCCTGGGGACAAATATATTATCCCTTAGCCCGTTATTGGTGTAAGCCCCTAATAAACCCTTGGCGTAAGCCCCTAATAAACCCCTGGTGTGAGCCCCTAAAGAAGATCTGCCTCCAAGTCGTCTTTGCACCACGACACTTTGATACTCTTTATATAAGTGATTGATCATGCAGTATCTTCATGATCAACCAGGCATTTCACTAAACTGTAATAAAAACGGGATTTCCTATGGTCATTTTGTCCATTGAGAAAATTTCATCGGACAGAGACTACATAATCTCACGGTTATGGAAATAAGCAGTGCTGTATTAACGCGATGAACTGTATCGAGTTAAGAGATATAACCTGATGAACATGCTGGAAAATGTTGCCTTTCATACACTTTTGAAGAAAATCCAACGTCTTCATTACTTGTGTAAAATCTCGATGGCAGCTGGTTTCTACTGGCAATTTTATCAGTCAAGAATATGAATCTGGCCCATATTTACGTTCATAAAAGTGTAATGCGGGCGTAAACGACCTCCCGGAGGTGACGTCATGAGGGGAGGAGTTAAGTCATGTGGGGGAGAGGGGTCAGGTTTATAGAGGGAGAGAAACCGGAAGAGGAGGAGGAGTGACGGGAGACTAGGAACGAGTGAGGCCACGTAGGGCGAGAGCGGAGGGTGGCGAGATCGCCACGCACACGGGGAACGAGGATCGGCACCGTAGGCCAACGGTGACCGACCCGGAGCAGCGAGGAGGCTGCAGTTGGCAGCGGGTCTGCATACGGAGTTGGCAGCGGGGGTCTGCATACGGAGTTGGCAGCGAGTCTGCATACGGAGTTGGCAGCGGGGGTCTGCACACGGAGTTAGCAGCGAGTCTGCAAGGAGAGGAAGGAGGCTACAATAGCGATAGCAGCCGGGGGCTACAAGTAGAGTGTCTCTAAGAGAGTGCCGTGAGGGAAGAGACAAGAACCCAAATAAAGGACACGGAGTCAGAGAGAAGCGTCCGAGTCTTTTATTACACTGGAGTCAGGAGTGTAACGGCATGGCGAAACAACTGAGAAAAAAGAATATTCCGTCTCCGGCATCGGCTTCATCTTCCGACGACGATGATCTTCCTCCTGAAGTCGGCCTGACTCTGACAGAGGAAGAGATCCGTGCTGGGACGAGTGCGGGTCCGGGAGTCCAAGAGGTCGCCGTGTCGGCGGACCCGTCTGCTCCAAAGGACGCGGATTCAAGATGGACCCAGATGGCGGAACAACTTGTAACTCTTAAGAACGTCATTACACAGTTGTGTGACCTTGTCACGCCGAGCGCGGCGTCGGAAGGAGATGTTGGTGGTCCGCAGGAGCCCGGGTCGTCTTCGATGGCGCCGCCATCGGCCACGCGGCACGAAGCCGCCATCTTGGGCGTGGCGCACGACGAAAAGCGGGAAGCCGCCATTTTGGGACCGCCGCGACGGTCAGTCGCCATCTTGTCGACACCGCGTTGCGACGCCATGTTGAATTTGCCACCGGAGGAGTCAGCGGCTGAAGGAAGCAAGCCAAGGAGTCGCAGTCGTCACCTAACAACTGTCAAGGAATTCTCCATCGGAGGCGATTGGAGTGCGTTCGCCTGTAGATTTTTGGCAGCGGTACGCACAGTGAGGTGGACGGACGCCGAGGCACTGGAGGTGCTTCCGACTCTTCTTGATGATGAGTCCGTTCGTTTTTTTCGCTCTATAAAAGCCGCGAAGAAGAAGACTCTGCGAGGGGTGTTCGACGAAATGGCGGACGCGTACGAGCCGCCGGATGACGCCCATCGCCGATTCGTGCAACGACAACGCGCACCCGAGGAGTCACCGGTAGCGTATAGGGGTGCCGTGTTGGAACTTGCTATGGCCGCTTACCCGGAGACGGAGCCTGACCTGCTGGAACCTCTCATCCTGGGGAAAATGTTGGAGTTGTCCCGGGATCTCGGCATTCCTATGCCGGTGTGCGGTCATGAAAAGCTCACGTCCCGGGCCGCGGCCAAGTGTCTGGACGCCCAGTTTAACCTTCGCCGCTGGAAACAAGTTACGGCGTGGACAGGTGGTCCTGTCGTCGAGGGGGGTGCCTTAGGGTGGGACCCTAAAAAGGCCGTGTACGTGCCGGATGGGAGCAGCCAGCAGGAGCTGTCAGCTGCCTCTGCTCCGTGGCCGGCCCGGGGTGGGCCGGGGCCGCGGGCTGCGCCGCCGGTACGGCCGCGTCGGGACGGGGTGCCCGCTGCGCGCCGCAACGAGATCGAGTGCTTCCGCTGCGGGCGTCGGGGCCATTATGCCAGGGACTGCTGGGCCCGCGTTCCGGGTCCGCCCCAGCAGGAGGCCTCGACAGCGGACGCTCCCAAGAAAGATTCTACAGCACAGGCAAGTCGGTGCGCACCAGACACCCGGCAAGGCCTGACACCTCACTCATCGCCGTTGTTGTGCGACGCGGATGTTGTTAAATACGGGAGGCCATTATCTGCGCCTTGTTGCTCGGTAACGCAGTGGCGCAAGCTGGCTCGGCGGGTTGTCGCGGCCGCTACCGGTTCGTCCACTGTACCCGGGTCGATCCAAGGGGTGGACGTGCGTATTTTGGTGGATTCCGGTGCGTCCGTGACCATCATTTCGGACGTGATATTCCACCTTTTGAACATCCCACCGGGGGCCGTGAGGCCGGCTTACGCTTCCTGCGTCGCTGTGAACGAGGGTAGCATGGGCATCGTGGGCCAGGTGGACGCTAACATATCTATCGGGGGAGTGTCGGCCTCGGGAATTGTGTTAATTTCGAGGTCCCTTGCGGTTCCTTGCCTGTTGGGTACTGATTTTTTGGCCAAGATGCCCATTCTAATTCGAATCAATGAAAACTGCATTGAATTACCGGGGGGCCGTAAAATGGCATTTTTACCGTCCGCCTGGGGGCGACCTGCTCCTGTCGCCCAGGTGCAGGCGTTGTCGGAAGTTTCTGTTGATATTCCACTTGGCTCGCAGATGTTTATTCCCTTACGATATCGGAAGCCGGTGCCTGGTCGGCAGGGAGCTTTTGGGGTTTTGCTGTCGCCGTCCGCCGCTATTACGGGCGGATTGGCGCTGGTGGGGGCGCAAACTATTGTCCGGCCAGATCAGCGGCCGTTTTTGCAGGTGCTTAATGCGAGTACTGAAAGCGTGTGTGTGCCGGCTGGTACCGTTATGGCACATGCCACTACGGCGTTTACGGCTCAGAGTGATCTGCCCAACGGGGGGCTGGTGGGTGGTGTTTCACACGATGGAGCGGTGGATGATCGTTGGATCGCTGAATTGTGTGGGGAGAATTCAGCCCTTTCCGGCGAACAGCGTTGTGCGATTCATAAATTATTATCGAGTTATTCGGATGTGTTTAGCTCCGACGATTTGGACTTGGGACGCACCTCGCTGCTTTATCATCATATCGACACAGGGGACGCTGCCCCTATTCGCTTAAACTCGCGTCGGATGAGTCCGGCTGAGCGAGAGCATGTTCGAGGGGCAGTGGATGACATGTTGAAAGCGGACATAATATCTCCGTCTAACAGCCCGTGGGGCGCGCCTGTTGTGTTGGTTAAAAAGAAGGATGGCAAATTGCGATTTTGTGTTGATTTTCGTAAGTTGAATAAAGTGTCGGTAGCAGATGCGTATCCCCTGCCGCGTATGGACGATTCTCTCGACGCCTTGTCGGGGGCTAAGTTCTTTTCAACGCTAGATCTCTCTTCGGGCTTCTGGCAGCTCCCCCTTGACGAGCCCTCGCGAGAAAAGACTGCTTTCCGTACGCCGCAGGGGTTATTCCAATTTAACTGTCTTCCGATGGGGTTGAATGCGGCCCCTGCCACTTTTCAGAGGTTGATGGAGTTGGTATTAACGGGGTTGCAGTGGGAGACATGTCTGATATATTTAGACGATATTATCGTCTTCAGCCGCACATTTGATGAGCATTTACTGCGGTTGGAGGCTGTATTCACCAGAATGCGTTCTGCTAATTTGAAATTCAAGCCAAAGAAATGTCACCTACTGCAACACTCCGTTCGATACTTGGGGCATATTGTTAGTGCGGACGGGGTGGCCACGGATCCGGAGAAGACAGCGTGTGTCCGTGATTGGCCAACCCCGGCCACGGTGGGTGATGTGCGTCGGTTTTTGGGGTTCGCTTCTTATTATCGGAGGTTTGTTCCGAATTTTGCTACGATCGCGAGGCCTTTGCATCTCCTTATGGGGAAGGGACACAAATTTGCTTGGGGACCGCCGGAGGAGGTGGCGTTTCGGAGCCTGCGCGATTTATTGGCTACTGCACCGACGTTGGATTATCCGGATTTTGAACATCCCTTCATTCTGGATACGGATGCGAGTGACACTGGTATTGGGACGGTGTTGTCTCAGTCAAAAGGTGGAGTTGAACGCGTGGTGGCGTATGGTAGTCGGGTTTTGTCTCCCGCAAAAACCCGCTACTGCGTCACTCGCAGGGAACTTTTGGCCATTGTTTTTTTTCTCCGCCAATTTCGACCGTATCTGTACGGTCGGTCGTTTATTGTCCGCACGGACCATGCGGCCTTGCAGTATGCTCTTAAGATGGACCAGCCATCCGGACAATTGGCGAGGTGGCTGGACACGCTGCAAGAATTTTCATTCCAAATTCACCATCGGAAGGGTGTGCGTCACGCTAATGCGGACGCACTTTCCAGGTTGCCGCAACAATCCCCTTGCGCGTGTGCGTCGGGGACGCATAGGTGTGGACCGATTCAGCTCCCCCCTCAGCCTGTCGCGCTGGCGGTTGATGTGCCTGAAGCTCCGCTTAAGCCGGGACCGGTTGACGGGGGACCGGCTGATGGGATTTTGCGTCTCCCGAGGTCTGTGTGGATTCGGGAGCAAATGTTGGATGATTCCTTGGTAACGTTACGAAAGCGACCGGAGAAGGCAAGTAGGGGACTCGGTGCGGGTGGTGTACCGGCAACCGCTCTCCGAGATGGGTTGCTGATGTGGAGGGAAGGGATACAGGAACGCTGGCGTCTTGTTGTACTGGCATCATTGCGGTACGAATTGATTAGGACTCTGCATTGTGACACACTTTTACATCTGGGGGTGCAGAAGACCCTATTGATGCTGCAGCGAGATTACTATTGGCACGGCATGACGACAGATGTCGTCGGTCACGTTCGCGCGTGTCCCGATTGTGCCCGCCGGAAGCCACCTAAACATCCATATGTGCCGCCGATACAATCTATTCAGGTATCTCGAGTTAATGAATTGGTGGCGTTAGATATTTTGGGACCCTTTCCGCCATCCGCTAGGGGAAATAAGTATTTGCTGGTGGGGGTGGAGTACCTCTCCCGCTGGCCGATGGCCTGGCCTTTGCCTGACCAGTCAGCGGCGTCTATCACAGACGCCTTTCTATTTGGGTATGTTATGGACAAGGGGGCGCCGGAGAGGCTCCTTACAGACCAAGGCCGGAATTTTTCGTCTAAATTGTTGGGGGAGGTGTGTGCGGCTCTTGGAACTAAAAATATACGGACATCCCCCTACCACCCACAAACGGATGGTATGGTGGAACGGTTAAATCGGACCCTGTCCGCCATGCTGTGCCATACGGTCAGTGAAAAACAATCAGATTGGGATTTGCATATCCCTGGGGTGCTTTCGGCGTATCGCATGACGCCGCACGCGGCTACTGGATACTCGCCGTTCTTTCTCATGTACGGCCGTGAAAACGTGCCGCCGATTAATGAGCAGTTGGGAACCGGAGCGAGGGGACCTGCTAAACCTCTTCCTGAATATATTCAGGATAACGTTCGCCGTGTCACTGAGGCGAGGGAAGGAGCCCGCATGGCTACGGCCAAAGCCCAGGCCCGGAACGAGCGGTGTGCTCGACGTTCAAAGGGGGAGTGCCCCTGGAAAACGGGGGACCTGGCCTGGCTTCATTGCCCACAGGTGCGGCCAGGTACCTCTCCTAAATTACATAAACCATGGCAAGGACCGGTCCGCCTCATTGAGGTTCCCAACCCACAGTCGGCACGTGTTCGGGTTGGTTCGCGGCGCTGGTTCGTGCATACATCCCAGTTGAAGCCATACGTTGCCCCGCGACCTGATGCGTCATCTCCTGAGGTTGCCTTGCCGGGGTCTGTTGCTGCCGACTCGCCCTTGCCTGTGCCTGCTGACCTTGCAAGAGCGCCTGTCGTACCCCTTACAGACAAGCCGGCCGTGACGCCGCAGGAGGGAGGACGTTCCGCTCGCGGGATGCCGACCAGGGCCGCGGAATCTACGGGACCTGCAGCCCTTCCTACCCCTCCACGGACGCGATTACGGGACGTCTCTGAACGGGACCGGGACGGTGGCAGGCCTCCAATGGCGACGGACGAACTTGCTCCTGTCGCCTTTAAAACCCTGCCACGTTCCCGCTCGGCGGGTGGGCTGCCGACCGTCCGGGACGGCCCGGCTACCCGTACTCGCTCGAAATCCCTCACATTTCGTTAACTTGTGTTGTGTTCTTGTTATATTGTTGTTGTATGCTTCGTGTCCTTTAACGTATTGGTCTTTTACACCCGCATTGCTTGTTATGTTGTAGTTCAGCCGAGGTCGGCTGGATTTTCTCTACGGGGGAGGGTGGTGTAATGCGGGCGTAAACGACCTCCCGGAGGTGACGTCATGAGGGGAGGAGTTAAGTCACGTGGGGGAGAGGGGTCAGGTCTATAGAGGGAGAGAAACCAGAAGAGGAGGGGGAGTGACGGGAGACTAGGAACGAGTGAGGCCACGTAGGGCGAGAGCGGAGGGTGGCGAGATCGCCACGGACACGGGGAACGAGGATCGGCACCGTAGGCCAACGGTGACCGACCCGGAGCAGCGAGGAGGCTGCAGTTGGCAGCGGGTCTGCATACGGAGTTGGCAGCGGGGGTCTGCATACGGAGTTGGCAGCGAGTCTGCATACGGAGTTGGCAGCGGGGGTCTGCACATGGAGTTAGCAGCGAGTCTGCAAGGAGAGGAAGGAGGCTACAATAGCGATAGCAGCCGGGGGCTACAAGTAGAGTGTCTCTAAGAGAGTGCCGTGAGGGAAGAGACAAGAACCCAAATAAAGGACACGGAGTCAGAGAGAAGCATCCGAGTCTTTTATTACAAAAGCATGACTTTACTTTCAATCACGAAGTTGTTAAGCGCCGACAAATATTTTCAAATATAGCAGGAAAATGTCCTCAAGGTGTTCATGGATCAAACTAAGGACACAGGAAGCAACATCCTCATGATGGACAAAGGCATCTCACAAATGGAAAGGAATAAGCGAGGTAATTTGTGTTCTTAATTGCGGTGGGAGTTAGCGGTGAGCAGTCCGACCTCAAGTTTTTGGAAAGCCATACACTGTGCATAAGATGTTGTTATGGAACCATTTTGAAAAATTCAGACATATGAAACGTTTTGCTAATTTAACTGCTATGTTACTGATTACAACTACAGTACGTCTCAACCAATGAAACCTTATTGCTCTGCAAATGTTAATTTACCCAAATTCCACTTAAACATAATGAAAACAAAGACAAAGATCCCCCGTATAACCTAACAGATTGTTGAGGCAAGTGCTGTTAGCAAGTAGCACCTATAAAGGCCGGCATAGCACACGAGGGGGTGTGTGGCCAACACCACGCCCGGCCGCCTTTGTCTCCCTAGTGGCGATGTTTACACACCGCACCAGGTACTTATTTGAGGCTGAGTCGCACACGCGCACTCACGCACACACACACCCGCATATTACGTGGAGTAAACCACTCTGTTACATGGCAATGTGCGCCTTCTGTGTTTAGCTATGCGTTGTGAAATGTTTTCGGTAGAAAATGACGAGCGGAAGAAACGATTGGAGCAGGGGAAGAGAGCGCTGCAAGAACAAAATAATCAGAAACAGGTCCAGATGGAAAGCTTGAAGAATCAACTGGAGGTACTCGATTAATTGTAACAATAAAAATATGTTTTTATTTCACAAGAGGTTTTTTTTTGGGTTAGATTGTGTAAATGTAAATGTGTCGTTAAACCTGCCACCACTTGACACAGCCAATAAGTAAGGGTTATTAAGTAAACAAAACATTCTTGATTTGAAGCTTGCGTGACTGCAGGAATCCATCCTCTTTGGTTATTTCGGTAAAGTCACGTAGGTAGAAATAATAATAGATCACGACGTTTCGATCGCCACACAAGCAATTGTCTCCCACCTGAAGATTAAACAAAACATGCGAATTCGTTACTAGGTCAGCACACCAGTGTGTTGGAGAGTAAACCCCCAACATTTACAATTATTATCCAAAACACTGGTGTGCTAGTAACGAATTGGCATGTTTTGTTTACGTGATAAACCTTACTAATTGTCTGTGTCGGGTGGTGGCGGGTTTAACGTGATATAACACAAAATTAACCTCTTATGGATAATATTGGTCGCGAAAGCCTACGTATTAAACTGATGTTTTATTTGTATAGACCATCATTCATGCAAACTGACTCTCAAAAGGCTGTAGAATGTATAATGCTCAGTTATTGTGTGGAGCCACAGATCACAGGCAAGTGGAAGGGGCAGCCAGAACCAGCGCCAACAATTGGCCAAGTCCTGGTCCTATATTTGGGATGTTTGGCCAAGTTTGATCATGAATGAGTGTGTATACATGAGGGTCACGGTACGTATCACACACTCTTTATATTTGTATCCGGTGAGAATACTCACTCGGTCGGAAGGGTGTTTACATGAATACTTTGTTGAATAACGAAAAGGCAAACAGTCCTCAATATGAATTTAAGCCATTCTTAAGTACCGTACACTAAATTTCGATTTAAAGCTTTCGTGACTGCAGGGATTCATCTTCTTGGTTCTTTCGGTAAAGTCACGTAGAAGGGAAGTAATAAAATAATAAAAATAAAACATAATAAAATAATTCTCACGACGTTTCGGCCACAACGCAAGCAGCCGTCCTCAGGTGAAAACCAGGTCCGTCGAGGCGACAGAGTCTGAATGAAACAGCACACGAGCTTGGAGCATATATATAAGCTGGGCGCATTGACAAAGGAATTTGCATATCAAAAGGAATTTAGCATATTTATGGGAAATGAAGGAATGTGATTAGTACTGCATATGCATGTGCATTATGCAGGATTAACAGCATCAAAGGGAGCTGCAGTTACTGCTGCTGCAGCAGTTGCTGCTGCTGCTGCAGTTTCTGCTGCTGCTGCAGTTGCTGCTGCTGCTGCAGTTGCTGCTGCTGCTGCACTTGCTGCTGCTGCTGCACTTGCTGCTGCTGCACTAATGTACATTTCACAGCAAAAACAAATAAGTTGACAAAAACAAGGATAGGCTTAACCTTACCAGCAATAATATAGGTGTTAAGATGTTCAAACACCAAATAGACAGACGTATTGCAAAGGTATCAAGTCTGCATGTTTTACTTGTGGTAAAACATGCAAACAAGCATGCTTCGATAATGTATGCCTTTGAAATTGATTGGCCTACACCAGAAACAGCCTCCTTATGACCTTGTCTCACCGGTGCTGTTAGACCAGAGAACGCCAAAAGGCAAAGAGCACAAAGGCAATGCAAATGTCAAAGCATTTATAGCTCAGGTTAAACAGTTATATTTACGGGACCTTTTTCATCAGTATAGAGATGATGAAAAGAGAATAGGCTTTACACTTTATTTATATTATACCGGCAAAAAGGGTCCCATAAAAATAAGTTGACAATTCGCCTCCTTCCCAAATTTGTCTACACGTTAAAAAAAAGTATTTTTTTGTTACACATCCCAATGGTCACATTGCTTCTGGGAGTACATTGCAGCAAAAGCATTGTTTTACTACAAGCTAGCATTGACATTTAGTATCTCATCAACAGGCAGACTTTCTATCGGCCGAATGGCCGATAGGATATGTGTAGCAAAATACCTTTATTGTTTTTGCGCGACACAAATATGAGGCATGCGATCAACTTATTTATTTAGTTATTTATATTTTCCACTAAGAAAATTATTTTTATTTTGCATTTCATTTTACGTGGATCTTACAGTTATGGTCTTTGGTACACAAGCCAAAAGTGTGATGGACATGAAACAGCCTTCACGTAATACCGTCTCTGCTTTCTACCCTCCCTAGTTAACCTTTCCCCCCTCTTGGTGTCCAACTCGTACTTTTCCCAATGTGTGGCGCTCCGAGACTTTGGTTCAACGATTCAGCCCCTTACAAATGGAAGTTGTTGCTGATGTTGTTGTAGTATATGTTTGAAAAGCAGAAAATGTAGTTATTTTTTTACATTGACAATGAGTTTTAAAAGTTTTATTTGCTGTCTGCGACATTTGTATAGAAGTTCAACAATGACACCGCCTAGTTGTGGCGCTGTGAATGCTTTTCATTTTGTAACACACTTTTTTGTGATCATCTAGACCAACAAGACAGAGTTTGATAAGAAGGTGAAACGCATGAAGGAGCAAACATTGTCTATTCCCGAGGACATGGACATTGAAGATGACAGTATGGACATGTATGACATGTTAGAGAACGTATTGGGTTTTGGACTGAAAGTTGCATTCACCGTTTTATTGTTTATTTGAGATTCCAAATTGGCAGTCAACCTCTATCTTACCTATAAACGTCATTTTTTGTCTGTCTGTCCGTCTGTCTGTGGACGTGTACTTGAAGGATTTGGCTCGAAAACCGTGGGATTTACATTTAAAAAAGTATCCATGTACCACGCCGTAAGCCCCATGGTGAGCCAGCGCTATTCCGTTTTCACATCCGTCAACTTTAAAGTATTTAAATTAGCAATTAATTGCAATTCCGCTTTATTTAATTATTTCCTCGCACTGCTAAAGCTGCCCGCGGGTTGCCCCTAGCAACACACACACATCATCGGATTGCTCATTCGTGTTCAAAATGCAAAAAAATACACACAAAGTTGAGGTAAATTCATCAAAGTGTAATGTCCTCTTCTCCCCCCCCCACCCCAAAGTGTCAGTAGATACTAATATTATAGCGCTTAGTGTTATTGTAGCGCGGGCGGGAGGATGGTGGGAGGGGTGGGCTGGGTTAGCGGCCCAACCCCCAACCTGCCAAGGTGCCACCTCGGCCGGCTGGGCAATCTAGGCGAGGCCGGGGGCTCTGCACAGGACTAGGCCTCACCACGCCACTTTGTCAGGTGAATACTTTGTGCTATAGAGTCGATATATACTGCTATAGAGTCAGCACGTACTACTGTCGGGATAGCAGGTACCACCACAGTTACTTTGCACTGCTGTTATCATAGCAGGTACCATCACAGTCAGTTTGCACTGCTGTAGTGAAAGCAAGTACCACCACAGTATGCACTGCTGTAATCATAGCAGGTACCACCAGTCAGTATGCACTGCTGCCGTCATAGCGGGTACCACCACAGTCGGTATGCACTGCTGTAGTGATAGCAGGTTACCACCACTGCTGTAGTCATAGCAGGTTACCATCATAGTCGGTATGCACTGCTGTAGTGATAGGTACCACCACAGTCAGTATGCATTGCTGTAGTGATAGGTACCACCACAGTCACTATGTATTTCTGTAATCATAGCAGGTACCATCACAGTCGCTATGCACTGCTGTGGTCGTAGCAGGATCGCACCAGTCAGTATGCACTGCTGTAGTGAAAGCAGGTACCACCACAGTCGGTATGCACTGCTGTAGTGATAGCAGATACCACCAAAGTCGCTGTGCGCTCCTGTGGTCATAGCAGGTACCACCACATTATGCATTGCTGTAGTCATAGCGGGTACCACCACAGTCGTTATGCCCTGCTGTAGTGATAACAGGTATCACCACAGTTGGTATGCACTGCTGTAGTGAAAGCAGGTACCACCACAGTCGCTATGCGCTCCTGTGGTCATAGCAGGCACAACCACAGTATGCACTGCTGTAATCATAGAAGGTATCACCACAGTCAGTATGCACTGCTGTAATCCTAGCAGGAACCACCACAGTCAGTATGCACTGCTGTAATCATAGCAGGGACCACCACAGTCGGTATGCACTGCTGTAGTGAAAGCAGGTACCACCACAGTTGCTATGTGCTCCTGTGGTCATAGCAGGCACAACCACAGTACGCACTGCTATAATCATAGAAGGTACCACCACAGTCAGTATGCACTGCTGTAATCCTAGCAGGAACCACCACAGTCAGTATGCACTGCTGTAGTGATGGTAGATACTGCTATCGAGTTGCTAGATATATGCAATATAGAGTTAGTAGATATTAAAACAGTATATACCACTACGGTCAGTAAATACTACGATACTACTTACTCTGTTGTCTGTAGGGTGTGTACGTATATATAAACCTACGCGGGGGTAAACATTTTCGGAAACCTTTTATATCAACTATTTACCCCCCACTTTCTATAACTTTTTGGACTTCTGCAAGCCTCTTATAATTTTGTTGGTGGAGAAATGGACAAACGGCCCGCCGGGCTTTCACAATAGCTTACTATCTGTGTATGGATATGTATTTTTAAGAGAAGTTGTGAAATATATTTTTTGCCTGGGCAACGCCAGGTACTTCCCGCTAGTACACTATATAATACTCCTCCTTCTCGTGTCCTGCCACCACGGTCGCATGTTTATCTAGCATCGGGCCACGTCGTGGTGATGATGATGTTGGCCTGGGTCTGTAGCCCAGGCTAGGTCGTCTGGGGTGCGTGCCTCCTCCAGGAGCCGACAGACCAAGAGATGCTCCATGGTCTCTGCCTCACTGCCATCTCACACGAGTCACAATACTCAGAGCTTCCGATGCACTTTCACACAGGGATTTATTGTGGCTCTTTTTCTACTGGATTGTAACTATGTTCTATCCACTGCTGGATAGAGGCCAGACTGGAAATCTCTGAAAAAGAGCTCCATAGGGTAATCGGATTCCTCCAGTTTTAAATAAAGATTCTTATTCTGATGGACGAGCCCCTCTAGTAAAGCAATGAAAGTAAAGTTAGGAAATGATTGAAGAACTTCGCAAAGCCTCGAGATGAATACAACCAAAAGTTAAGTACAACAATTTTGCCGAACATAATAATTACTGGCGGTATACCACGAGGAAACACAGCTGAATGTGTATGATGATTACCTTGATCACAAAGAATGGTCCTTTGAGTACGATGTTGCCTCACCTAGGATTGGTTAGATGTTTGCAAGCCCTACCTTCATTGGAATTCGGAAAACGCGTGGTAACAAACTACTTGAATTGCCTCATGCAGTTTTAGTTAGTATACGTAATCTGCTCTACCTTCGTTAATCTGTGTTCTATGTGAGAAGGCTGTTTCTGGTGTAGGCCAATCAGTGTCAAAGACAATGCATATATTAGCAAAGCATGTTTGTTTGCATGTTTTGCCACAAGTATGTGTGGCTAATGGAGTACTTGATGAAAGGGTAAAACCTATTCTTAGCTTTACCATGTATATACCATTATTAGTCTTTTTCCCCTCCCTTCCCCTTGATATGTTGTCAATACCATGGGCTCTGTAATTGTTATTGAATAAAGTTTAAAAATAAAAACTAACATTGTGATGTAAATTTCATGAACACATTCTGCAAGTGTAATGTCATGACATCTTGTTAAGCAGTCATTAATACTTGTGTAATAAGAGAGTACACTGACGGTCGCCGACTAGCTGGATAGGCTCCGCTGCTGGCTAGAGGCGGGGCTTGGCTCCACGTGAGAGGGATATAAGGGGAAGCAGGAAGAGGTTCAAGGTCAGTGTGGGAAGTCTTGGAGCTGGACCACGTCTCGCGCCTTCGGAACGCCAGCGGCCATGTGGTGGTCCGAGGGTGGTCTCCTTGTGCACCGCCAGCCAGCGGTGCGCAGGAGCGGGGAGCATGAGAGAGCCATGCGTGGAACAACGTCAACATACGCCGCGCAGGGAAGAACGAACAGTTATTACATGAGAAGGAGCGGGGATCTGTCCAGCTGACACGGAAATAAATAAAGACGCCAGTTAACGTTCGTCGTCGAAGTCGTTTATTACAACTGGTGCCAGAAGTGACTCTTGAAACTGGACAACGCGACGTGCTACAAGAATGTCCAAACATCTCAAGAAAAAGAACCCGCCTGCACCATCTTCCGACGACGATGAAGACTCCCTCACTCAAGACCTGCCGACCCCGGGTGCCGTGGACTCGGTTACTGTAACCACAGCTGGCGCGAGCATAGCACTGGGGAAGGACGTCGGAGCAGCGCCGTCTTCATCTCCAGGTGCGGACGACAGCTGGTGGTGTGTTGCTGAGCAGATTGACTCTCTCCGCACGGTTCTGCTTCACCTCGTGACACTGGTCGCGTCGTCTGCGGCGCCGGGATGGCCACAGGACGTGCTGCCGAGTGGAGACGGAGGGTCCGCTCGTGCCAAATACGGCCGCCATTAAGCCCGCGGAGGGGCCGTCCGCCATTACGACCGTGGTGGGTGCCACGTGGTGGGAGGCCGCCATTTTGGGCGTGGCTGCAGACGTGCAGTCTGAACCCACCATTTCGCCGGAGCCGCGTGGCGCGCTGCCGGCTGTGATGAAGCCTGCCGGTGACAGCGGTGCGGGACGCAGTTATCATCTTCCCCACATCAAGGAATTACATTTCGATTTAAAGCTTTCGTGACTGCAGGGATTCATCTTCTTGGTTCTTTTGGTAAAGTCACGTAGAAGGGAAATAATAAAATAATAAAATGTAAACATAAAATAAAATTCTAACGACGTTTCGGCCACAACACAAGCAGCCGTCCTCAGGTGAAGACAGCTGTCTGAAAGACAGCGTTCCAATGAACATTGCTAAGCTTGGCAGCATATTTTAAGCTGGGTGGGAGGAGAAGAGCGCCTTGACAAAGGAGTTTACATATCAACAGAAGAATGTAGCATTGAATAAGCTGTGTTAATGTGAGAGAATTAGCAGGATGTTAAAGTCAGAAATTAGCATGTAACTGAGAGATTAGCATGATGTTAATGTGAGGAATTATCATGTAACTGGTCACGGAGGTGGCTATGTTAAAGTCAGAGTTTACATATCAACAGAGGTACTTAGTATATTGCCGCTAAAGAACTGCAATCACCCACTATCATACAGCTTATTGGAGCTGAGCTATTAATGTTAATAGCTCAGCTTATTGGAGAATATATTGAGTACATTGATTATATTAAAGTAGTTTATATTCATAGGTTTTACGCCTAGCCTACATGTAGGCTAGGCGTAGTCACAAACCGAACCTCTCCATACTAAAGGCTCAGTCTTTTGTTATGCAGTCTATTCATAGTCTCAAACCGCACCTTACCATAATAATAAAAAGTGGGCTATTCCTGGCCCTTCCCCCCCCCCCCCCCTCAACCATTATATATGTGGAGTGGTATCTCCTGTAATCTCTCATTTACTTGATCCAGCTGTCGGGCTGTGACGGTTCCACCTGAAGACGGAAGCTTGTGTTGCCTCCGAAACGTCGTGATTTTCATTTTATTTTACTTTTATTTAAACTTTTTACCTACGTGACTTTACCGAAAAACCTAAGAATATGAATCCTTGCAGTCACGAAAGCTTCAAATCTAGAAAGTAGTTAATATTTAGTTATTTCACATCGGTTTATTGTAGTGGGTGGATGCAGTTCTTTAGCGTCAATATACTAAATGCCTTTGTTGATATGTAAACTCTAACTTTACATAGCCACTTCCATGACCAGTTACCTGCTAATTCCTCACATTAACAGCATGCTAATCTCCCAGTTACATGCTAATTTCTGACTTTAACATCCTGCTAATTCTCTCACATTAACACAGCTTATTCAATGCTACATTCTTCTGTTGATATGTAAACTCCTTTGTCAAGGCGCTCTTCTCCTCCCACCCAGCTTAAAATACGCTGCCAAGCTTAGCAGTGTTCATTGGAGCGCTGTCTTTCAGACAGCTCTGTCTTCACCTGAGGACGGCTGCTTGTGTTGTTGCCGAAACGTCGTGAGAATTTTATTTTATTATGTTTTATTTTTATTATTTTATTATTTCCCTTCTACGTGACTTTACCGAAAGAACCAAGAAGATCAAGGAATTAGTCATGGGCGGCGACTCGAGTGCTTTTACGTGGCGGTTCGAGTCAGTATTTCGTTCGGTGCGGTGGACGGAGGAGGAGGCGTTGGACGTTTTACCTACCCTCCTCGATGATGTGTCGCTAGTGGTGTTCCGCTCTATTCCCTCTGACAAAAAGAAGACATTGAAGGGCGCGTTTGCCGAGATGGCGGAAGTTTATGAGCCACCTTTAGACACTCAGAGGAAGTTTATGCATTGTTGGCGAGGGAGCAACTCATCTCCCCTTGCCTACCGGGGCGCTCTGTTGGCGCTTGCAATGGCCGCCAGGCCTGATGTGCTCGACCCTCTCATCTTGTGCAAGATGTTTTAACTGTTAAAAGAGATGGGCATTCCACTGCCGGTGTGCGGTCATGAGCCGCTAACATCCCGGTGGGCCGCTAGGTGCCTCGACGCCCAGGACAACTTGTGCCATTGGGCACAGATGGCCACCTGGACGGGAGACGCGGGCCGAGATGGTGACCCGAAGGGATAGGCGCCATCTAAAGTCGTCCACATCCCGGACGACGTGGAGGTCGGGGACCTGGTCACCACCGCTCCTCGCTGGGATCCGTGGCAGAGACCTGACCCGCATCGTGAAGGGTCCTATTAAGCCGCGCGGGGCCGACGATGGGGCCAACGATGGGGCCGACGATGGGGCCGACGATGGGGCCGACGATGGGGCCGACGATGGGGCCGACGATGGGGCCGATGATGGGGCCACTCGGCGGGCTGAGATGACATGTTTCAAGTATGGCCACTTGGGCCACTTTGCACGGGACTGCCGAAGTGGCCCTCGTCCTCCACCGCCTCTCGGGCCTCCATCTTCGGTGACACCTCCATGGACGGACCACGACCCCGGCCAGGCAAGTCGGCAACGCATCAGACACCCGGCATCAATTGACATATCATGCATCTTCCGACGTGCGTAGTAGCCCGCCACTTCGCGATTCAGACGATGCCATTGGGGGTTCGCCGCGGTCGATAACACAATGGAGGAAATTGGCACGACGTGTTGTGACAGCAGCGATGGGATCTTCCACGGTACCGGGTTCAATACAGGGGGTAGACGTTCGGATATTAGTGGACACTGGGGCGTCTGCCACTATTATCTCGACGTGATTTTCCACCTCCTTTCTATCCCCGCTGCACGGGTGCGGCCGGCTTTTGATGCGTATATTGCTGCTAATGGGGGTAGTATGGGCATCGCCAGGCAGGTTGGATGCCCATATTGCCATTGGGAATGTTGCTGCATCAGGGACGGTTTTGATTTCCAGGTCCTTGGCAGTGCCCTGTTTATTGGGCACCGACTTTCTTTGTAAGATGTATGTTAAAATTATTGTGGATCAGGGTTGTCTAGAGATGTTCTTTTTGCCGACCCCGCTCAGTCGTCCTCCGCCATGCGTGACAGTGCGGGCGCTTGCGGATGTCACTGTTGAGATTCCTCTGGGCTCCCAAATGCTCATGCCATTACAATACCGTAAACGATTCGGCGGAGCAGAGGCGGGGGCAGGTGTGCTGTTGTCCCCGTCAAACACCGCTACCAAGAGTCTTGCTTTTTTGGGAGCCCAAACGATTATCTGTGCCGGTCAGGCCCCGTTTTTGCAAGTTTTGAATGGGGTCTGGATGGTGTTTTGGTCCCGGCCGGTACGATTTTGGCTCATGCCACTACCGCCTTTACGGACCACGATGAGAACCGACCTGGGAAATTGGCTGGGGCGACTCATCTCGGGGCAATGTCCGACGATCGTTGGGTCGCGGATTTGTGCCATGAGAATTTTTCATTGGCCGCTGATCAACGCGGCGCGCTACGGGCGCTGCTATCCAGCTATGCTGACGTTTTTAGCACAGATGACTTTTATTGGGTTGCACATTGCTCTTGTCCCACCACATTCATACCGGTGTGGCGAGCCCTATACAACTGAATTCACACCGTTTGAGCCCCTCGGAAAGGGCCCATGTGTGCTGCGCGGTGGATGAGATGCTGGCCGCTGACATAATCTCTCCATTAAATAGCTCCTGGGGAGCACCTGTTGTTCTTGTTAAGAAAAAAGATGGTAACCTCCGGTTTTGTGTCGATTTTCGTAAACTTAATAAGGTTTCCGTGACAGATGCGTACCCTCTGTCACGGATGGACGATTCCCTCGATGCGTTGTCAGGGGCGCTTTCTTCCGGGTTCTGGCAGCTGCCCCTCGACGATTCTTCGAGGCCAAAAAAACTGCATTCCATACGCCTCAGGGACTTTTCCAGTTTAACTCAGGCATTGAAGTCACCCAACAAGATGACTCTATTCCGAGGGGCCACTTTAGCAAGCACCTGTGACAGAAGGTCATAGAAGGCATCTGACTCATCGACCTTGCCTGGGGACATAAGTAATGACGACCACCACTCATCGCCTCCGGTTGATGGGAAGGCGAGCCCAAAGT